AAATCGCTCTCCATATTACGCTTCGGATTTTAAGTATCGCATATTTTATTGTCTTATTATTATAAAATGTTTTTATATTTAATTCGATCCGTCAAAGCAGAGAAATGTTTATTTATTACAAGACTGCCGCACAGCAACACATTTCATTTCTAGAAATAGCGTTTGGTTTTTTTTCTCTCGATGCATCAACGCTTTTTCTCATTGTTTTCCATTTATATCAAGCGATCTGAAGCCTACAGTATCCAAGTGAAATTATGAATTTCACAAAATAAAATATTAAATGTGCCATTTTCTTTCGCAACTAACGTGTGTCAATTGTTTGACACTTTATAGGTGTTTTCAGATTTGTGCCGATTGTTGCCTTTCAGGTTGCCTTTTCGCTAAGGTTTATTGTTTCAATTCATTTAAAGTTTGCATGAAATTTAAACATTTTCCACACACAATGTGTGTATATAAATAAATATATCATTTTCAGAATAAATAATAATCGGAAAATATTTACCCGTTTGGAAAACAACAATTGACAATTCATGTGACAAATGAACGCAAACCGTTAACAGCAAAGTCCAATAAACAAATCTCAGGTCCGAATTCGTATTTGCTTTCTGCTCTGTTGCTAAGCGAAAAATGTCAACGAAATCTGTATTTTTGTTCTACATGGAGATAAAACTGGTATTTATCGTTGGCAGAGCACGATGTAGTTAATTTGTTATTACAACAAAGATACCAACATAAACAAGTAAAAAACTGCTAAGTTCGGCTGTGCCGAACTTTTAACACCCTCCACCATTTGGAAGGAACTTGAAATTTTTCAAAAAAAAAAAAAAAAAAAAACGTCCGGAAACTACCACTTAAATGAAAACTGTTATATTGGGACTATACGAAGACGTGGACCTGCTTACGAAATTTGTTGTCATAGGCTGTAGCACCTATTACGAACTTCAAATACGAAATTTGAAACAATTCCGGTAAAAAATGTCGCTGAAATCATGAAAAAATCGAATATCGGGAGGTACCTTTATATGGGGAATATACGAAAAAATGGACCGACATGGCCCATTTAACCTGCCTACTGGTAAACAATGCATGTATGCAAAATTTTAGCCTTCTATTTCAATTCGTTGGAAAGATTACAACAAACGGACAGACGGACCTCGCTAGATTGTGTTAGAATTTTGCGCTGATCCAGAATATATATACTTTGTAGGGTCTATTATAAATATTTCGAGGAGTTACAAACGGAATGTCAAAGTTAATATACCCTCCATAGAATGGTGCAGGGTATAAAAATAAAACGAATTCATATACTAATTTGTCGGCTTTTAGTTGCCAAAAATAACTACTTATTTTGGTCGATATTACCGTGCGAAAATAACGTAGTTTGACTTGTATGTAACTATCAGTGCAAAAAATAGGTTAGGAAACCCTTGATTGGGATTTTGCTGGTTACCAACCGATTTGAATTATTTTATTTTTGTGACATTTGAAGTTAATGGTAGACGAAATCTTGTTGAACATATTTGGTTCGGTTTCAAAACAGTGTAGAAGTTTGATAAGATTAATAAATTTAAAGGACGTTCGAACTTGTTTGTGTAAATATACAATTGGGGGTGTTAAAAGGTTCGTTCGATCTCTACACGCTTATCCTCGATCAATCAAACCAGAATTATATAAACATAACATTTTTATTTGCTTAAAAATCATTTTTATTTTATACCGTTCATTCTTTTATGGCTATAATTAGCCCCCTCCCTCCCCAAAAAACATAACATCTGCTTTTGTTGTATATTGGGCACAAAGAAAGCAAAAAAAAAAAAGTTATCGCCGGTTAATTGAAGCCATTGCATGATCAACATTTTATAGGCGTTAATTGATTGTTTGATTATCGCAATCTGGTAGTGTGACGGGATGTGTGTTTTGTGCAATCATTTAAATGGGCGAATAAATTAGTTTCCATTAGGACCGATAAATATGCCAAATTGTTACCTTTGCACGCATTTCGTTGCTATGTGCGAAGATCTGTTTTCACGCGTTCCCTACAGGCAGTTAAACCCGCAAAAAAATAAAATTACAAAAAAAAATAAGTTCTTCAGAGCAACGCACAGAGGCTTGACATCACAAAAAAAAAAAAAAAAAAAAAAAACCAGAAATTAGTTGAAAAAATGAAATTCGTCTTTTGGCATAAAAGTATTTAAACAATTATTGAACACAAAATTCTACTTCAGTACCGAAAATTTCAAAGTCATACGTTGTTCAGTTTTCTAATTGCACAATGCTAAAGTTTAGAAATTTTTCACTTTCCCAAGAACAAGGAAAATGTGGTTTTTAGTTTTTTGAAGTGTAATAATTTTTAATAATTTCTTTTTCTTTCGCATCAAATGTTATAATTTTAAAATTGAAGCATCAAATACAGGTAGCTATTAATGTTTTAGAATGAAAAAGTCTTAAAAACAGTGCTGGAAAAATATTTTAAAAATCAAAGCAAAATATGTCCATATTTTCGGCATATCTGAAAAGTATATGGAGTAGAAAAAAGTAATATATAAGGAAGGTCCTAAAATTTTTATTTTTTTTTTAATTAATTAATGGGAAATCTTAACTATATAAGAAGAATCCAGTCTCTTTAAAAATCAATTTGAGTTTTGACTGATGATTTTTAAAAATCAGTAACATAGTTTTATACCCTCCACCACAGTATGGAGAGTATATTAAGTTTGTCATTCCGTTTGTATCACCTCGAAATATACATTTTAGACCCCACAAAGTATATATATTCTTGATCAGCCCGTCTATCCGTCTCCGGAAATCACTATAGCTTCCGAAAGAAATAAAGTAGGTTGATAAAATTTTACTCAGCTGTGCATTATGTCTGTAGGACTTTTGGTATTGAAAATGGGTCGTGTGGATCCACGTTTTGGTATAGCCCCCATATAATGGTACCTCCCTGTATACGGTATTTTGGTGAGTTAAGCGACATTATTCACCGGAATTGTTTGAAATTTCATTAAAATATGTAGTCTTTTTGTCTTCTGATTTAAAAAGTGGTTTCAAAGGATAAATTAATTTTCCTGGCTCAAGACAAATTTTGTTATTTTTTGCATACCTTAAGGAAAATTAGAAAAAAATGAGTTTGCGGATCCAAATCCATTAGGCCCTGCAGGGACCAAGGTTATATGTGTTTTTTCTATAGGTAATTTTTGAAGTTTTTTATCCACTGAGAAACAAAATAACAAATAATAAGTTTGTAAAAACTCTGTCTGACACCCTAAAAATACATAAAATTGCAGGAAGATTGTCAAAATACCTAAAATTTGGCTATATATGTTCATTACATAATGGTGGATTTATCTGCACAAAAATATTTCAGGGAGAGTTTTTGTCAAAATGTCGAGTTACTCATGATTGGGTTTGATATTGTGGAGAAACTTTAAAAATACCGTACAGCAATATGGGGCCTACACCAAATACTGGAGAAATCTTGAAATGTTTTAGCTTGAAGAGATTAAACCTACTCAGAACTCTAAATGTCAAGTCGCACATGATTTGGTTTAAATTTGTGGTAAAACATTTAAAATACCGAAAATCAGAAAGTAAAGCTTACCAAAACGGGGACTGATACGTCCAATTTTTTAAACCAAACATACTACGGGTAATATAAATGTCTGAGCAAAATTTCAAAGCAATATAATCCTTCCCTTAATTAATCTCCGTTTTTTATAGATCTCACCCCACTGTGCAACGTTAGAAGTAAATATCGCAGCCTAAGTTGCTTGGACCCTATGCCGAAATTGTTACCAATGGCTGCTTTAATCAAATGAAAAAATATGTTAATTTTAACATTCTAACGTATCGTGTGTGAAGTAAACAAACCGTTCATTGTCCATTTATTTACTTGTTTGGAATTATGTTTGAAACACACAAATATAAAAAAACACGTCTAGAATAATAATCAATATTTACTACATGATTTTCACACCACTCACTCATACTCATATGTATGTGCATATACATGTTTGCACATGTTGATTAGTATGTATGCAAGCAGCATACACATGTGAGCTATAGACAGTGCATTCAGCATAGAAAAAAGGCCAGCTCATTTATATGGCAGCCAAAGAGTCTACAGATATTGTTCACTTTAACAAATGACCTTTAGTATGGGTGTCACATGACTTTTCGATTTTCTATAACTTGCGGTAGGTTTTATATACGTTTTGTATAAAGCGACTGATTGTGATCAATGACAATGACCAATTACAAGATTTTTAAAAGTTATGTTCCATTTTCTTTATTTTTTAGATCTCCTATTTCTTGTCTTAACCACTGTGACAGCGACATATGCCGTTATTTAATTTAGCAGTGCCAATGGAAAATTAAAATGCAAACAAATCGAATGTTGTAAAATATAGATTTAGTGCTAATTTGGAATTTAATATTATTTCTTTCTTTACAAACAGGGGGTCAGAGAGCGAGAGAGAGAGAGGGAGGTAGGCCGACATCAAAGCGTCAGCCGGAGACACTGAGCGAGACGGCAAATGAAACCGCTAGTCTAATTGAATTTATTTAAATAATTAACATATTGTAAACAAAGCTCCGACGCTAGGCAGAGAGCAAAACACTGATGCTAATTAAGTGGGCGAATGTATCTGGTACCGGAGAAAAAATTGCAAAAAAAAAAAAAATAAGAAAAAAAAAATAAAAAACAACATGATGAGTCTAATTATAGTAGTAATGGCAAAATTCACAACACAGGTATATTTAACAATAAATAGTTATGATTTTGATTGATTGATTATTTACTTTTAAGATTGTCTGATAGTGATGATTTGAAAACGTGATTTATGGAGCTGGATCATTATTATAATCTAATAATGACAAATAATGTTTTACGAACAAACTAAAATACATTTAAAGTGAATTTAAAGGGGCGCATTTGAATAAGAATTAATCCTGCGAAGAGTAATGATAAAACATTAAAATTTCAAAAGTTATGAATTTAACAGCCTGTTCCACGATGTCGAAAGAACACGTTCGCACAACTTTTACACGACAAACAGCTGATTTCCGTTCCACTAAAATCCATCAGAACGAAAATTTGCACGAAAATCAAAGCGAACGAAAACGTAAGCATTTCAGTGTAATTTTGCGTTCCACTATCTTTTTTCTTTCGTACGCATGCGAACACAAATGTCAAAATCAGTCACTTGTGTGTTTGCTGTCGAATGATAAAAATTAAGGAAAATTGTTGTAACATAAACATTCCTTGATTGAAAATGGAAAGAAAAATGTAAGTAAAAATAATAAATGCAATTTAATCTGTGAACAACAAATATATATTTTTTTATTTTCTCAATTCCAGCACCAAAAAACTACACAGCTGCGGGCACTAGTTGAGTATATGGGGGAGAATCCTAAGTTCGCCAGAGGAGTGCCAATTTTTGGAAGCAGCAGGCAATCCCATGAAGACCACTGGAAGACACAAACCTAGAAAAAATCATTTTTTTATTATTTCAAAAATGTAAAAATACAATCATACTTACTGGTTGTTAGGTACTTCAAATAAATTCGAAGCATCTCTTAAATGCCTCCGTGGCACAATTTGAACCTCCTCCTCATCATCCATAAAAAATAGGGCTACAGAAATATTCATTTTTTTTCTTTTTTAAGAACACAAATAATCTAAACACAATCACTAGAAATTTTATTTTGTTTGTTTATTTACAATTTGTTTGTTTACAACTGAACTGTCAGTTGAGACAGAGCCACTGCTGCTTTTTCGCGTTTAAATTAGACATTTGGCGCTTTTTTTGCCTTATTTCGCGATTAATTTTGCCAAAAAATATTTTGCAACACTGAATCACGTAAGGCTATGCGAAAGAAAGAACGAAAGTTAGTGGAACGCATTCTTATGCGAAAGTGAGTGAGTTGCCTTCGTTCGCACAAATTTTCTTTCGAGATCGTGGAACAGGCTGTAAATTTTGAAAAAATATACACTGTGAGATAAAAAAAAAACTGCAATAAAATCAAACGCCAATTTTTTTTTAATTTTATTGAATGAAGGCAAAAAATGTCGGAAAGAGCATAACATTTTAAAATAGGTTTGGATTTGTTCGAAATGGTCACCTTTGGCACGAATTATGGCCTTCAAACGGCCAATGAAACCTTCGCAGGCTGTCCGAATGTTGCTCTGTGGTATTTTGGCCCATTCCCGAAGCGAAGCGCTTGCTTGAGGTGATCGACACTTTGGTATTTTTTAGTGCCAACCTTGCTTTCCAAATTACTCCAGACGCTGGAAATGAGGCGAGGAACTTCATTTTGTAACCTTTCCTGGGTTGCGCGTGCTGAGTGCGATGGCGCTGAGTCCTGTTGAAATGTCCAAGGTCTGCGGCAAAATGCTTTAGTACACCCTCCAGAATATTTTCGCGATAATATTCGTCATTTATTCTCATGCCACGGTCGATTAATACGAGCAGTTATGACGGCTCACACCATCATCAAGGCCGGTGCTTGAGTTCTGGTGGTCAACCGAAGGTGCACATTTTCAGCTGACCTCTTTGGCAAGTAAACACGATCATTTTGTTTGTTTACGAACTGCTGGACAACGAATGTTTTCTCATCATGTGTACACTTGTAAACAATATAATGAGCTGTCACTGGAATAAATTTAACAGCTGTCGGACGAGTGGCTTGGAGATGACAGCAGTCTGAAGTTGGTCGCAGTTTTTTCATCTCACTCTGTACAACCATTATCTCTAAAATACACTCAGCTATAATTTCAGTTTTTCCTCCCCTCAACCCACACATACAGATGTTTTGCAACCCTTTACAAAAAAACCATTTCTCTATCCTTAACATTTTAAAGATTTCTGGGAAATTTTAAAAAATTCTAATAAATACAACGCAAATGTGACCGAGTATAAGTAGTACCTAGATTAGGTTTGACATTTTTAATAGCTTCCCATTCATATTTGATTGCTTTCTCTTTTTTCTGGCCTCTCCATTAAAATGGGAAAGGAACAAAACGATATCCGATTATATTCCAAGTCATTTAAATAAAAATAAGAATTTTTAATATTACTTAATTCAAATTGCATTATTATTAAATTTTAATAGAATTTCAATATATGAGCCTGATAATATTTCATAGGTTGAAAATAGATAACTTCATCAGAAGATTATAATTTATTTGTAGATGTAATCCTCCCAAACAAAGAAATAGATAGGAAATATTTGCGGTCATAAATCATTGTTGTCTTTTTATTTTGTCACATATTCCACTGGCGTTCGCTATCTGAAAATGTCTTGGATATAAAATTTTCTAGCAAAATCTATATCAATATGTTTTTGAAATTAATTTTATTACCCTATCAATTAAAACATTTCCTCCATTTTGCCCACAACAAAGTGAAGTTCTGAGAGAAAAAAAGAGAAACACTGCATACGTTGTATATGAGAGTGTAACGAGGTTCGGTTACCTAGATATTGAAAAAAATTCTATATTTCTTTCATTGTGCGAATCAACAAAAAATACTGAGTTTCACACAATTTTAGACTTTTTGTGTTACACCCTATTGCACAGGGACATGTTGATTACTTTGTGAATACATTGTCAGCCAGCCCATTGTGGGAAAGTTACGATTATTATTTTTAATTAATTTCGATTAAAATGCGCTCATTTATAATGGAACATGTGTATCCATTTGAATGGTGACTGTCACTCTGTTGTCCATAGTGTCAATTGGATTCAGTTGTGAGACACGTGATCATCAAAACATATAAATTATGAATAATGTTGCTGAAAGTTTTTATTTTTTTTAATAAAAAATGGAGGACTAAATGGAAATATTTTTTTCAAGTAAAATTCCATCGTTTGTCCAAATTCTACCCCACATTCCAAGAAAATATAACGAAAGTGTTGACGAATCTAAAGCCACGACTAGCTTTAGCTTTCACACTATGATCGAAAGTAGTTGCCTTGTGGAAAAAGTAGCTATGAAAAATGATGGGAAACCTAAATAGGTGTAATTTATTTTCACTCATACATATTACTCATGATTCTACACATTTTTATGACCGCTACGAAAGGTTGGACACTTTTTCCATGCACAAATTAATTATGTCCATTAAAATATTCCACCATTGCCAGGTTTTGCTCATAACTGCAATTAGTTTCAACATTTAGAACTTCTTAGCGTGCAGCCGGCAGAGACCAGCAGTATTGTGTAACGGATCTTAAATTAATACAAATCATCAAAAATATTCTTCTCCAATTGTTGTAATACACATACGCATGCATGTATGTGCAGCTACATAGACGGCAGTATGCAGATAAAATGGTCTCGTGACTCCAATTGCAACATCCAGTAAACGAGTTGTTGAACTCTTGCTGTATACACATGTAGTACATATGTATGTACATATGTACTTCATTCGATAAATCAAACAATGGAAAAGTGACTTCTACCCGAGATATGGTGGTGCATACTCCGAACGATAAGGGCAATGAAATGAAATGAAATGAAAATGGGAACATGGAGCACCACCTCTTAAATGCTGAACTTCGAATCATTACCCCACAACCATTCAATTGTTGCTAAACAAAACACTTACGAAGACCACAAATGCAACAGTCCGTGTTCGATATTCCATCTTATCGGAATGGAAAGAATGGAAATAAAAACAAAATCATTTCGGCCAAAGAGAGGCGAGACAGAGAGGAGCTAGCGTTTATTGACGAGTGTCAGCATTTCTCATGCAAGGCTTGCATGATCGCCATATTTGGTGCAGAGTGTATTTATTATTGAAGAGTCTATTAATCAATATTTTTTTAAATTCGTTTCGATGAATTCACAGAGATTATTGCCGAATTTGGAACATTACTAATTGTACACAACCAATACAAAAACAAAATAAATTAATGGAATTCCATCTGGGGATTATTGACAATCATTATGCATTCATTACTAGTACTCAACTGCATAGACATGTTCCCATATATGTATGCATGTGTGTGTTTCAATTACAGATTGACCTCGATCGACTTACAGTAATATTTTGAAAGCCGAGTTTGCTGTAATTGTGAATACCAAGCAGATCAACCTTTGAGCAAATCCTAGCTGGGTTCTTCCCGCATTGTTTGATGCTGAGAAACAAGTTAAAAATTGTGACCTGTTCTATGATAATTCGAAATGTTGACAATTACCGAAGGAACCGAAGGAGTGGGCCAATATCATTCATTTGGATTTGGCATAAGACTGATATAAATATCACATTATATGAGATGTGCGATAATTTTTAGAAAATGTTGAAATTTGTGTAAGGTTCCAGATATAGTGGGTCAAAGAATTCCAATTCATCTAATAATAATAAAAATATTGGGATGTTAAAAAAAAGAAAATCAAAAAAAGGTTTCTAATTTTATGCGATCAACAATTGATTAAAATGAAATTCCATATTCAATTGAGAGAAATGTATAGATATAAAAGTTATAAGAGACATGAGTAGTGAAAATTGTGGCCTTTTGTGGGGGAGGTACCAGAAGCGGTAGGCCGATAGATATGCATGCAATTTGAAGACAATCGGGCTCTTCTTTCTCATTTGATAAGAGTCGTATTCATAGCAAATCTTGACCCTTTATGGGGGAGGTACTTGATATTACGTAAAACTAAATATTGCACTGGAATTTGCAAAGATAACACAAAATCACATGATCCTTTCTCTTTCTTTGAGTTAAATTATTTTCTAAGAAAATGTTGACCTTTGTATGGGGAGGTACCCGAAGGAGTGGACCGATATTGCTTATCTCCGAACTTAATCTTAGTTTAATAATAATATTAAGATCTATCAAATTTGGACCAAATCGGATACTCCCTTCGAGAGTTACACACACCAGCCAGCCAGACAGACAGATGGACATGCCTAAATCGACTCCAATTGCTCTGAAATAGATTTGGTCCAAGGAGACGTGGGCTATAAAACTGTTACGTTTAGCCCGTATCAAATGACATATACCCTCTGTCGCCATATGGCTGAGGGTATAAAAAGTAACGTGATTGCTCTGCCAGAACTACATTGCCCAGAAAACAAAGCAACGTTTTTACTTCCCCATTACCAAGTAATGAATAATGTCGGAATATAGTATGCGCGTCCGACTACAAAACCGAAGATTGTATGTTAAATAACAGAAGTGAACGAATTAAACAATTAAAAAAGAAAACAGGTTCGACCGGGCCGAACTTTCAATACCCAACACCATTTGGAAGGAACTGGAAAAATTTCGTTTGGTGGCCATACGAAGACGAGGACCTTCAGTCAGAGGCTATAGTACTCATTACGATCTTTAAATACGAAATTTGAAACAATTGCGTTCTATAATGTCTCTAATGCCACAAAAATACCGAGTATTGGGTGGTAACGTTATATGGGAGCTATACGAAGACGTTGACCTGCATAGACAATTTTCCGTTATAGGTTGTTTACACACTAAGATCTGCCAATACGAAATTTGAAACAATTCAGGTGAATAATTTTATTTTTATCAAAATACCGAATATAGGGAGGCACCATTGTCTGGAGGCTGTAG